AGTAGTGGGCATAACATGACAGATTTAAATGTAACTCATGAGAAGTTCCAAAATGGGGAGTAGAGATAACCAAATGATATGATACTATCTATAGCAAGGCCAGTAAAAAGGCAGATAATGGTGGCTTTGGGGGCCCGAGTCATCCTAGAAGAGTTAAGTCTTGAGCTAATCTTGAAGGACAATAGAGAAGTATTGTAGAAGATTCCATAGGAACCCTTTCAGTGGTTAGTTCTGCCTGAGGGCACCACAGGTCTTACCATGAAGGTGAAGGATTTATGGAAATTGTCAAGCCAAAAAAGGAACAGATTCCAGATGGAGGCATTAACACACTATAGTGTCCTAAGTGGTAGGGAATGTGGAGTGTTTAATGTGAGCAGAACCCATGGACTGGGCCGGGGTAGGTGAAACTGGACTCAGTTACATAAGCTCTCCAAAGATGATGATGGACAGAAAGACTTTGTTTTGTTTAACATTTGTCTTGCTTTTGGAGAAACAGCATTTTCATCTGTGTGCTGTCCTTGTTTGTTTTGTGACACATACCATTACACTCATATAAAGGGATTTAGGTTATGGATTCGAACAGCATTTGTGTTACATATTCACACATTTATACATCATAATTTTAGTGTGGGTTCTATTCAGCTGTTCTCAGTGTTGAAGATGTTTAGCTATGGCATGGCAAGTTGATGAATTAATCTAGACATATCCCCTTCCACCAGTAGGGTGGGCGGGGGGCTGGGGTTGTTCTGGCCACTGAAGCTCTGTCATTGACTGTTCTCAGCATCGTGAGGCTATGACCTTCCCTCAGAGTCCCTGGAGTCTTACTCAGGCCTCACTGGCATTCTGCCCTGAACCACAGTCCATTGAGCTGAGCACTATCAAGTGTCCCTAACTTTCACTGTTCCCTTTTAACCTGGATCTTTATTTCTGTGGTTTCCATAACTGACCATGACCCATGTGTGAATCAGAGACCCACCCAGAACTTTGGGTCCCCAACCTGACTTCCACACATGGCAAGGATCTCAAGACAATGGCTGCTGTTACCAGATACCTCTCTTATTTTAATGTAATTACCCCTTATCATATTGAACCTGCATTTAGCAACTCAGGTTGACTGTTGGTCACACATGTTAGTGAAACTCTTGTCCTAACCTCACTTAATCTGCTTTGATTTTTGCTCTTTTACCCTAAATTGCTATATTCTGTAGTTTCTTACAATATGATATTATTTTCAATATTTATTTCTTAATGTTCTAGGTTAGGACTAGGCTATTTGACCTCTTTTTGCCCCTGGTTTTTATTTTATTTACTTAATTTTTAATAGTTAATCCAGTACAAGGATATTTTATAAACCATGGGTAAATTCATTACCAGCTTTTCTGCCCTTCCCCAAAAGTGTCTTTGCAGCCTATACAATGAAGGCGTGATTCTGTAGTAGGCATCAAGAGCACATGGATGCTTGGTCCCACCTTTCCTGCCTGGCTTCATTTCCCACTGTCTCTACCCACCCTCTTCTCAGAGATGGGAAGCTAAGTGCAGCTGCTGTGGATTCCAGAGTTTCACTCCTCCTTGCCTTTGCCCAGTGCTTCCTCAGTGTGGAATTCTACTGGCCCAACTCACTGCCTGAAGGAATCACACATTTTTCAAGGCCCAGTTCCAAATTCCACCTTCTTGAAGCTCTCCCAGATCCTTAAGCTAGATATATTTCTTCTAACCTTTTGCTTTTTTTCTTTTGGCGGAACTATGAGTTGAATTCTTCTAAACTTTTGCTTTCACAGTACTTTGCTTCTAACTCTTGGAGCTTGTATTAGCTCTGTCTTCTATTTGTCTATTGTTTATAAGCTATGTTTTCCCCTCCATGAAATTGTGGAGTTCTTAAGAGCAAGATTTTTGATTTTTTTTTTGGGGGGGGGGCGGGGGTTGTACAATAGCACTTTCTCATTGTTTTTTTTTGATGGCTTTTTGATAATTGCTTTGCCTTTAATTTTGATGCTTTACAAAGGTACAGTGGAAAATTTTGTTTCTCAAATAGTTGCCTTTTTTTTCTAACCCCCTTTTCTCTTTTCTCCCTTTTGCACATGTTGGGTAGAGGAATATAGGTATATATTTGAGGCTGTGTGAAAAGGAATGGTTTGGTGAGAAACTATTCTAATTGGTTAAAGATCCAAGGATCTTTAACCAATTAGAATAGTAGTAATGCTCTGTTTGAAAATTGCTTGAAAACATCATAATCTTTATTATGCCTCATTTTTTTTACTCTCAATTGATATGTATACATTGAGATAAGTGAGAATGGGGAATTATTATACGATTTATTCATTTGATGAATATTTGTTGAACATTTGTTATGTACCAGACTCTGTCAGGACAGCAGGTAAGAGACACACAATGCTCAATTGATGATCCATTCCAGAGTAAAGAGTTTGATTTTATATATGGCAAAAGTAATAATACAAAAAATGACCAATATTTATTAATACCTTCTTAGATGCTAAGTCTTTTTTTTTTTTTTTAAGAAAGAGACAGAATTTTTTTTTAATATTCATTTTTCAGTTTTTGGCGGACACAATATCTTTGTTTGTATGTGGTGCTGAGGATCGAACCCAGGCTGCACGAATGCTAGGCAAGCGCACTACCGCTTGAGCCACATCCCCAGCCCTAGATGCTAAGTCTTAATGTTAATTATGTTAATATATTATAGCTTTTGTCCTTATGACAACCTTTTATGAGTGCTGCTACTCTATTTGTCCCTACTTATCAGATGAAAAATACCTTCTGAGACAATGAGAAATGAAGCAACTTCTCCATGGTAATTCCTACTTGGTACCTTACTACTTCATCCACCTCTTCAAATTATATATTATTTTAGTGTGTACCATGTGGAAGGCATCCTTTAGAGATTATGAAGCAGTGTTCCACCTACTTGTTTAGACTGTCACACAGATGAAAGTCTAAAGCAAGGATATGCTGTTTTCTTACTCAATGACCTTGGACAAGTTACTTAAGTTCTCAGAAACTCTGTTCCCTTGCCTGTAAAATGAGGGTTAAAACACTGTGTGTGGGGCCTGGGGATGTAGCTCAAGCAGTAACGCATGTGCGGGGCGCTGGGTTCAATCCTCGGCACTACATAAAAATAAAGATGTTGCATCCACCGAAAACTAAAAAATAAGTATTAAAAAAATTCTCTCTCTCTCTCAAAAAAAAAAAAAAAAAGACAAAAAAACTGTGTAAAAAGTGTGTAAAATTCAACTCATTCCTTTTCCTCTTTTATAAAATGACTCAATCATATGATCAATAAAAGAAAATTACTTAGATTTTTAGATTTTTTTTTTGAAACTGTAGGAGGAGTTCCAGCAGCCCAATAAATTCATTTGTAATGTTGAGTAGTAAACAGTTTACATTCGAAGTCATGTTTCTTTGTTACTTTGTGGTCCATTTATTAAGAGAGATGAAGAGGCTTTCACTTAATAATTGGCTCATCAGTTTTTTTTAAAAAAATATTTTTTTAGTTGTAGGTGGACACACAATATCTTTATTTCATTTTTATGTGGTGCTGAGGCTCAAATCCAGCGCCTCACATGTGCTAGGTGAGCACTCTACCTCTGAGCCACAACCCTTGGTGCCTGAAAGGGCTCCCAGCTCTGCAGTGAGGCAAAGAGAAATAACCAACACCCTTGATGTTCTATTTAGATGATGGGAGCTGGTTACATAAGAGAATAATGTTGGTTCTAACTCTTTAGTTAAGCTAAGTAACCGTGACTTGAGATAAAATCCTTTCTCACCCATAAGTTTCACTTTATAACTTTGTACCTTTTGGTTATTCCCATGAGGTCTTTTGTACCGTACATTGTTGTTTCTCCAATAGTTGGTCAGCACATCATTATGAAATCTTCATTGTTGATTAAACAAAGGTCTTTTATGACAGTGTGGGTTTTTTTTTAAAGCATATTCTGTTTAGTTGTGCTTCTAAAAAAAAATCATTTTAAAGTAACAATTGAATACACTAAAGACTTGTAACAACGTGGCAGCTTCAACATTTCCACAGATATCAATATGTTTCACAATCTGCCTATTAGAATTATGATTAGAAGTATATATAACCTTTTAAAGTCAAATTCTAGAAAAGTTTAAAATTCAGGTTTTTTCAAATTGGAAATTTCATTTTTTTAATCTCATATACCAAAAGACATTAAAGGAATAAGTGAAATCTTTGAAGTAAATAATTAAGTCTAATAATTAAGCCTAATATATTTGAGTATGCTTAAATGAACTTTAATTGTCTATGCCATACTAATAGGGATATAAAAAGTTAAATTTTTCTGCTGTACAGTGGTGCAACTGCATAGTAATGCAAAAAACAAGGTCCATTCCATATGAAAAGTGATTGGGGCTCTAATTATTTTATGATAAAAGTTAGCCAACTATTATCAAGAGCTTACTGTTTTCCAGGCATTTACCAAGAGCTTAACATGTTCTTAATTTTATGTATTTGTTTATTTTGGTACTGAGGATTGAATCCAGGAGTGCTTTACCACTGAGATGCATCTTCAACCTTTTTATTTTGAAGACAGAATCTTTCTAAATTGCTGAGGCTGGCCCTGAGTTTGCAATCCGATTGTCTCAGCCTCCAGAATAGGTGGGATTATAGCAGTGTACTGCCAGACCCTACAGCTCAGAGACTGGTGCCAAAATGCTTGCATTACAACTGGCAACATCAAGGAGGTAGAGAAAAGTGAGATCTTGCCAGAGTTATAGATACGTAAGGTAGTGGGAAACCAGTCTGAAACCATTGTGATTCACTTAACCTCTAGCCTCATTGTCTCTGTAGTGCCAGGTATTATTTGTTTACCTTTTAATGGAAAATTTTTCTGTGTAAATAAAATCTGAATCTTTTCCCAACCCCCTCATTTTAGTGGTGCTGAGAATTAAACTCAGTGCCTCAAGCTTGCTAGGCAGATGCCTACCATTGAGGTACACACCCAGCCACAAGTTATCTTTAATGTTTTATTCCAGGATATGAATTAGTAAATAACAGATGTAAATTAAATAGATGACAAAATCTTCTGAAAATATATGCCTTACCTACTTCAATACATAAATCAAAATATCTAGTACAACTTAGGCAGTTAATTCATTTTTGTAAATTGACTCAAATTTTTATAGAACGGTGACACTGAAAAAAATCCTATATATGTTAACAATTTCAGTTTTTCTGTAAAGCAGGCATTTGAAATTGAAAGGCATTCAAATATTCTTGGCTGACCTACTTTCTTAAGTAAAACATGTGTCAGAAATAAAATGATTTAGTTCTCTTATATCTGGTGCTTGCTGTTGGTGAGATATGTCTCAAAATACCTTTAGCTACTTGTGATGTCAGAGGAAAATTTCAAAGCCTCAATTTGAAATGGGTTATCATGGCAATCACAAATTTGCATCCGACCAAGTAAGGGAGGGGCTGTGAGAAATCAAAAGCATGCTGAAGGTATATTCATTGTAGAATGAAACCAAATGTGTTTTATATTCTCAGGTCTATAAGAACTACTGAACCTCAGAAAAAAAATTATGAATTTAGATTGATCTATCTAGATGCTTCTAGAGTTTATCTTAGAGAATATAAATGAAAACATTTTTCTCCCTCTGAACTTTTGCAGATGGTTGCTCAGGTTCTTGATTTATTCCTGGTCTTAACTTGATGACAGTAACCTGGATGTACTTTTGGGGTGTGCCATTTTTTTTCATTTATCTCTTGTTGATTCCATCCTTAATATCTTTCAGATAGAAAATTTTAAAACATATAACTGATGTTTTCTGAGAGTCAGAATACGTTTTTGTAAGTCAGTAGTTTTAGAACCAAGAAAATTGTGAAAAATTGGTGAGTATGTTTATGTTTAGTTATGGGAAATAAACCCAACATAGAACGCTGGTCAGACACAAAAGAATTTCAGCCCTCTAATGTCAATCTTTAGACATGATATATTCCATCAAGTCTAGGCCAAGGCCATCAAATGTTCAGAGGAACCATTTTATAAACTACAAAGAAGAAATAAAAAAAAGCAGTGCCAATTGAACTAATACAATATTTTAAAAATCTCATAAATGCATAATTAGGTAAACACCTCAGTTAACATGTAGTTCAGCCAAGTTTTCACAAATACATGCAGTAATATTATCATCACAGCTGAGATACAGAACACTTCCAGTACACTACCACTTAGGTTTGATGTTACATTTACTGAAAACGAAAGGAGTTTTAATTTGTCATTATCATATCATTCTTGTGCAGGCATTAAAAAGGAATGTACAAATAAATGCACGGTGAGATCCAGTACTTCTGGAATTAGCAGTGCTCTGTGGTTGCCCCTGGGGATTTTTGCTCAGGTAGACTATGTCTATTCAAGTTTGGGTTGCCATTTTGTGATTTGACTAATTCTAGATTTTTGTCTACTCCTCAAGGAGTAGACATGTCACTCAGGGACATGTCACAGCAAGTTTAGCAGTCTCTATTCAGAGTCGGAAGAACTTTCTGACAAACTGGTTGAAGCAAGGCACTTGCTTTTCATAGTTCCTCATTCCTTTATGTTTCTTCTAAATCACTTTTGTTCAGATGGAATTTTCTTTGTAAAATTCCCACTGCAAACCAAATTTGACAGCTGGATTTCCTGTAGGGAATTTGAATAAAATTAAGCATTAAGAATTTAGATCTTTGATGATTTGGAGAATCACAGATTTTGTGGTATGTCTAATGAAACTGATTATTATAGTCCCTTAAATGTGATGATTTATTTAGATATTTAAATTTTCAAAAATATAACAAAGTACAATTATATAGTGGTCCAAGAATATGCTGTGTCTTCTCCTGTAGCAGGTGCATCAATAGAGTTCTGTGTTAAAGAACTACAAGTTTATTTTGTCACAACTTGATTATTTTATTTTTGTGGTACTGGTGCTGGGGATTGAACTGATCTACATCTTTAGAATTTTTTTTTAGTGTTTTGTTTTGAGACAGAGTTTCATTAGTTATCCTGGCTGGCTTGGAATTTGACATCTTTCTGCCTCAGCCTCCTGAGCCTCTAGAATTACTGGCATGTACCACCATGCCTGGAACAATTTATATTCTTTAAAACCAAAATCTAACATACACTAAATGATTTATCAGCTACTTAGCAGATAATACCTTTTTGTAATTTTTGTGTTTGGATTGTCTTAATCCTGTGAAGCTTGACAATTCTTTGAAAATCACTTCTGTATTTGAGTGTTTATGTAGTTTAAGTAACTAATCCTATAAAATTTTAGACCACAAACAGATTTTGTTTTAATCTCCTGATTTTACAGATGAAACAATGACTCCCAAAATGACATTAGAAACAGGGGTCTCACTATTTGAGATATTTTTTATTACATAATGCAGTAATAAGTCATTCTTTTTGATACTTAATGAATATTTATTTCCTTTGTAGTTGCATATTTTTTAAATGGCTTAAATTTAAACATACCTGTCAAAGGAAAGCAGAGAGCTGAAACTCCAAACCTTGGTTCTTGTGTTCTGATGAAAGAAAATTTAAAGTCAGACACCAGAAGTCATGCAAGAGAACTTTATTATAGGTGAAAGTAAAATAAAAGCAAAGTGAGGCTTAAGTGGAAAGCACTTTCTATCTCTCTGAGAGGGCTGTCTCCAAGCAGAGAACAACAAAGGAGATAATGCTGTCCCCAGATTTATAATTGTTTTATGGTTAACTTGAAAACTGGAGTCCTCTTTCAGCAACCTTTTCCCATCAGGTATTCAACTCCTCCTTCACCTACGGCAGTGAAGGAGTTTTGACCCTAGTTGGTCCTCTCCAGGATTGTCATGGTGGCCATCCTATGTAGGGGGACTTCATCTGTAAGTCAATCCCATGTCAATAACTGGTCAAAGTTAGCAGGCCTGTGCTACTAAAGGACTCTTTCTTCTCTATAGGCGAATAGACACTATAGCCATAATTCCTAGCTTTACATCAACCTCAGTGGATCCTGTCAAGAGTTAGTCTTATTAATCTTTTTCTCTTGAATCTCATTAATATTTTTCTCTTGATATGTTTTACAAATAGCTCCCTTGCTTTTGTTTTCTGTAGATTAACTGCCACCATTTGGTTTCTTAACATATATTAATTAATAAAAGGAACATCATACTCAGGTTTTTCCATAGTTATGACATTCAAACTCAAGTTTAAAGAAGAGCCCCAATTTAAAGAACACTTTATGACCTTATCATAAAGAAGGACCCTGAAGTAATTTAAAGAATACTTTATGACCTTACCATATATTTCACTGCTCATTGCTAGCTACTACCTAACAGTGCCCACTAGAACATTAAAATATATAAACTGCATATATCTTTCAACTCTGATTTTTACAGAAATGTGGAGAAACAGATAGTTGGAGTTTAATTTTCTTAAAATTCAAGTATAAATATTATTCATATCTTATATAAATGAAAGACTTTATTCCCAACTCAAAAAAATGCTATTGTAGACAAGAACGGCAATATTTCAGCTACTTCATATATTGTTATTTTTTTGAGGATGACATAGTCTTATGATTTAAAATTTTCAAGTGTTAGTCTAGTTGCTTTCTAATGTACATTGAAACTATTTAGTGAATGTAGTAGAAAGTACCACATTGTTTGTCTATAAAAAGAAACATTGTTCCTTCTTTTTAAGACTATGTGAGTGGGGCAACAAACCAGATATTTCTGGTTTAAACAATTTTACTTCATGATCTCTTTCAAATGTAGTGATTTAGAAAAGTTTATAAAACACTGTGGACTTCTGTGTTACGGAGACAGTTTTTTTAAGCATTTCTTTTTCTTTTTGAAAAATGATAGTTCTTTTTTTGTCAATGTGTGTAAATACTTTTAAAATGTAGTTGAAATTACACTTTCCTTGAAAATTGAATGGAAAACAAGGATGCAAATAAATAAGTTCAGAGCAGCTAAAGGAGGTATCACAAAGTTCAAGCATTTTTTTTTTCCTGAGGGCACTAACACATTTCTTGCTTAAACCGTATTAATTTTATTTAACATTTAATCCTAAAATGTAGCTGTTTGGTTTCAAAACCAAAGGCATATGCTAGGAGTAGTGATTTGGAATAGTGGAGGTGGACTGCTGACAGCAGGCAGTGATGACTGAAAGAAAGAAGGCAGAGAAAATGCTAGAACTGGACTCAAAAACTGCACAAACCCAGCCACAAGGACCTGTACTTACCAGTACTTCTCTAAACAGCTGTGTATTCCTGCAAGAGCACAACATGAAAAATTATATTCACCAGGTTATGAGAGATCATAACATATCAAATTAAAGTAAAATGTGCTTAGTGTACTTCACAAGCTTGTAAAAACTAATTATAGACTGGGTTAGAAGGAAAACCTAGGTCATTTCCACAGATATGAATAATACATAGACATTCTTTGATCCAAAGGTATTATTTAAAATAAAATTCAAACAAAAATAAACTCAATGACTTGGAAATAATAAATTCTCCTACATGCTTAGAATAACAAAGAACACATTAAAATATAAATTTTATGATATTTCTAATGTTAGTAATAGACTATACTTTAGAAGCAATTAAACATGATTTTGATTTTTAAAGTGAAAAATGAGATCTCAACTTACAATACTAATATAAAATATAAGGAACTGAAGGGAAGGAAATAATACAAATATAAGTAGGAATTAATTATTAAACAAAAATAGAATTGAAAAACTTCATTTTTTGGGGGGGGGAGGAAAGTTGATAGGCCTTTTGAAAATTTAATGAAAAGGGAACAAAGATATTATAATGGATTCCAAGACTTCTTAAGTTATAAGAATTCTATTTTTTTGGGGGGGAGTTGATGGGAATTGAACTCGGGGTCACTTCATCAGAAAAACATCCCCAGCCTTTTTTATTTGTCATTTTAAGACACCGTCTTGCTGAGTTGCTGAGGCTGGTCTCCAACTTGAAATCTTCCTGCCTCAGTTTCTCAAGTCGCTAGGATTGGGACATGTTCCACTGTGCTGATGGTTACAAAAATTCCAGATGTAACTTATGGTATTATATTATAAATTATAGATTAAATGGATGACTTTCAATGAAGAATCTAAATTAAAAATTGAATCAAAAAATTAGAAACATTGAATCAGTCATAGAAAATTGTGAAGCTATCAAACTCCTTTCTTTAGAAAATGACTCTGGGATCAGACACAGTGCATTATTCAGTCTTCTAAGTCATACACATTCTTATTTAAATATCTTTATTTTTTTATGTGGTGCTGAGGATCGAACCCAGGACCTCACACGTGCTGGGCCAGCGCTCTACTGCTGAGCCCCAACCCCAGCCCCTACACATTCTTTTTTGAACCAGGGGAACTAGGTATTAAACCTAGGGGTGCTTTATCATTGAGCTACATCCCCAGTCCTTTTTATTTTTTGAGAAAGCCTTGTAAAGTTGCCCAGGCTGGCCTTGAACTTAGTGATCCTTCTGCTTCAACCTCCTGTGTTGCTGGGATTACAGGTGTACATTACCACACCTGCCTGCATATTCCTACAGCCTTACGGCACATAGAAGAAGCTAGAAAGTTTGAGTTTATTTTATATGGTGAACACTTTTCTACTAGCATTTAAAATAATTTTGCACAAAAGTGAAAAAGAAACCATTCTATGACTATAGCTGTCAAAATCCTAAATAACTATAAGTAAGATTACTGCAGGTTTTCAAGAATTGCTTAGTAAGTTGAAAAGTATTCACATATATTAATTAATAAAAGGAACATCATACTCAGGGTTTTCCATAGTTATGGCATTTTAAACTCAAATTTTGTGGTACATTCAGTCCCTAGTCATCTATGGAAAGTGACTGGTGATTCCCAATTCATATTAAAACACTTATCCTAGAAGTCACTGAAATTTACCTGCCTTGCTATTTCTCTTACATTGACTGTTCATCTCACATACTGAAATGACTCCAAGGTAAGGGGCATGAAAACTTTCGAGACAATCCAGGAACATGACTATGGGATTGTCCATTAGTACTAAGCACCTGCTCAGGATCAATCCAATACTAGTGTCTGGGAAGGAAAGAGTCAATAAGAGAGGGTTCTTGTCTGTAACATTTCCTGTTTTTTTAGTATTCCTTAAAACTATAATCAACTGCAATTAAAATACACACACACACACACACACACACATATATACAAACACACACTCATATATTTCCCTATTAATGACCATTTTTATTCTAATACATTAAAAATAATATTGATCAATTCATCAGTTTGTTACTGCAACAAAGAAAGTGATTAAAACATATAAGAAAATAATAGAACATTAATATGGTGAAACCCATGAAAGGAAATAAAAACTGGGAAAGAGCATATGGTGTACTTAGAACAGCTCAAATAATGACATTCTTCACAGAGCTGAAGTGTGTGTTGTCAAAACTTCTCTTCTGTATGTAGTTATGAGTTTTATAGTTATATAAATTTTCTCCTCCAATGAGACAAATGAAGTCTGGTTCTTCAGTCACTGAGTGACTCTTCTTAGAAGATGATGGAAAATTAAAAACAAAGACAGGGCTGGGGATGTGGCTCAAGCGGTAGCGCATGCGTGCGGCTGGGTTCGATCCTCAGCACCATGTACAAACAATGATGCTGTGTTGGCTGATAACTAAAAAAGATAAATATTAAAAAAATTCTCTCTCTCTCTCTCTAAAAAAAAAATAGTAGCAGAAGGATATTGAATAAATGATTGAAAAAATATATATATACATAGCCAACAGCAAACATAATACTTAATGATGAAATATTAAATATTAGCACCTTTATCATTGAAATTAGGTTTGTATGTGAGTATGTAACAGATGTGATTCTGCAATCTGTATTTGGGGTAAAAATGGGAGTTTAAAACCCAATTGAGTCAAATGTATGTAAGATGATATATCATGAGCTCTGTAATGTTTTGAACAATCAATAAAAAAAAAATTAGGTTTGTGTCAAAAATGCCTATCATTACTATTTTGCCTTTTCCCTGAAAGTTAGGGCCATTAGTTTTTCATTAATCCCCTTTTTTCCTCTTTCTCTTCCTCTGTTTATTTATTAAATAGATATACAACAACTAAGAATAGAGAATCAAGGGAAATCATTTTAAAAACTTTTAAGACAAATGAAACAGTTTAGGAAGTTGTTTGGGTGTAAAATTAAAAAGTACATAATGGTTGGAATAACAAAAACAATAAATGCCAGGGAGGACATGGAGCAACAGGAGCGATAGCAATACTCTTACTCAGTGCTGGTGGGAAGCCACTGTGGAAGACAATTTCAGTTTCTTTCAAAACCAACCATACTCTTGCAGAGCATGGATTCTGGATCATATTGTATTGACAAAAATGAATTTAAAAACTTATGTCTACACAGAGATGTTTTATAGCACTTCAGTTGCCAAAACTTGGAAGCAACCAAGATGTTCCATAATAGGTGGATACACAAAATGTGAGATTCCCATGCAATGAATTATTTATGGAAAGAGAAAGTGACCTGTTGAGTTTGCTTTCTCTCTCCCCTTCTTCTCCTGGCTGCTGCTACTGCCGCTCTTCCTCCTCCTCCTCTCTTCCTCTTCCTTATTGTGTACTAGGGGTTTCAACCCAGGAGTGCTTAACTACTGAGCTACAACCCCAGCCATTTTATATTTTGAGACAGGATCTCACTAAGTTGCTTAGGTGTTGCTGAGGCTGGCTATGAATTTGTGATCCTCCTGCTTCACCTTCCCAAGCCCCTGGGATTATAGGTATGTATCACCTCACCTGGCTAAGCTCATCTTCGAGCAATGGGCATGAAGGGACCTTAAATGCATATTATTAAGTCAAAGAAGCCAGTCTAAAAAGGTTCTATACTGTATGATTCCAACTAATAACATTCTTGAAAAGAAAAAACTTGAGAGATAACAAAAAGATCAATTGCTAGGGGTTTTGGGTGAGGAAGGGTACAAATAAGTGAGTCATGGATCTTTAGGGCAGTGAAACTTTTGTATGATACAGTTATGACACAGGCACAGTTTTCAAAAGCTGTAAAAATGTACATTATAGAGTGAGCCCTAATGCAAACTATGGACTTCAGTTAATGTATCAATTTTAGTTCATGGATTATAAAAAGTATACCACTAACACAACATGTATATAGTAGGGTACACTATGTGTTGGGGATAGGGGCAAGGAGTTTGTGGGAATTCTATACATTCTGATCAATTTTTCTGTAAATCTAAAAGTGCTCCAAAATAGTCCACCAGTTGAAAAAAATTAATGTGGAAAAATCTGCCTCTTTTCCCCTTAGCCACATTAGGTCCTCATCTGCCTTTCAGAGCAGTCAGATCTACAAAGGAAGGGAATGCAATATAAAATGACTGAGTGACAAGAGAAAGAAAGTATCAGAAATTCTATGTAATATTAAAAGTAGAAGCCAAGTTGTGCATTTAAAGTGTAGGTAAGCCCTCAGAGGTCGCTCATTGTATGCAGTGGAGTCCATGAGCGGTGCTGGAGTCTGGCAGTGAGAGGCCAAGGTGATTGACCTGTGAGGCAGCCAGCCACCTTGCCAACGTCACCATCTCATTGCTGTTCAGCATATTGCATGTTACATATATGCAGTTTTTAAATATATCACATTGCATGTAAACTAATCTTTGTAGTGGGAAGTTGTACGTGTCTGCAAAATCATCACCCATTGAATATAATGAAAACACAAGTGCAAGTGAACAATAAGAAAAAAGCAGAATCTACAGTTATCGCATGTGTAAACTTTTGCCAGCCGCATTGTAAGAAACGATCAGATCTGACAAGAATTGAACCCTAGAAAATAAAGTTAGACTACTTGAAATATTTATATTCCCTTCTAATATATCATTAATAAAACATTAAACATTTAACTTTTATTTTTTAATCTCATTTTTAATGTGCTTATGAATACAGCAGAACATGTATGGATAATGAGTTGCTGAGTCAGCTTCTTTCTTATAGAGTTGTATAATCAATAATATGTTTATAGGTTGCTAATCTGAATTGTTCTAAAAGTTTTCCAGATTGATTTTCCTGCCTCTGCTCTTGGTTTCCTCCAGACCATTTTTCATATTGCAGCCAAGGAAAGCACTCTAAAATGCATCTCTGATTGTAACTTTCTTATTTTTTTAATGTTCATTTTTTGCTCATTACACGTTTGTTTTAATGGGTCTCAAAATTCTGTGACAGATTTTTGGTCAAGTTTTTTTTTCCATTAAAAAGTACTGATTTTAAAAATGAATAACTTAAAACTGCCACAGAAGGAAAACAAATGGTCCATAAAACATTCTCTTTTCCTTCTGAAGGTTTTTATGATGCATTGTTATCATTAACCAGTGTTTTACTATTAAATGGCCAGTTGTGATAAACAGTTCTGAGACCATTCTTCCACCACTGATTAAGACTGGGGTGCAAGTGTTAGGGGTAATATTCATTTAGGGGCTTCTGAGCTTTCTGTGCAGACTTGGTCCTTGCCAGTTCCAGAAGCCTTCCTGTCACCTGCTTTGATGAATCTTAGCGTTGTGAGATACCCTGATAGGGGTCCTGCCTTCTTCTAGCCTTATCACCTATTACCCTAGAGGATCTTTCTCACTGGTATGTAGAAAACTTTCTTCCTCCCTTCATTAGATTATGTCTTTCTCATTATTTGGGTATGTTAAATTGTCACTTCCTTGCAGAAGATCTTTTTGGCCCCTAACTTGGGTGCAGTGTGCCCTTATACGGCCCACTATCAGGGTTTACTTGTGTTCACTGAGACAGAGTTCATGTATATCTAGCACACCTTGACTGTCCTTGTGTTTAATATGTATTAGAAAAATTCTTTGAAACCTTATTTTAGAAGGAAAATGATATGGACAAAAGATATATTACTAGCCTATTGTATTAGATGATGATTAAAAGGGGTGCTAGGTTTGTCTGCCAAACTTTGTTTCTTAAAAACCTTAAAGCATCTTAAATTGTTGCTAGTACACTCACTGAAAGTGAAAAATATACACATAAACTTACTTAACAAAGCTAATGTAAAAGTTGCTTTCTAACTTGCTCCAAACATTTTATTGCTTACTCTTTTGACACAGTATACCATCCAGGAGATTGTGCAGATTTTAGATATTTTTTTTAATCTTATCAACCTTCAAATGAATATTTCTCAGGGAATGTATAGACTTTAAAAAAATAGTTTTGTACCAAAATTCTGGTACTTCAAATACTAAAATCTCTCGGTGTTAAACTGTCCCATAATTCAACACTGCTGTAGACTTCCTATTATCTACATCCCTGAGCATATTTTTCTTTAATTCTGTCACCATATCACAATGGACCTCACTTGGGAAGCTCCACAGCCTCTGTGAATGATGTGGTGGACTACAGAGAGGGCTCACAGCTTTCTCTTGACTCGGAGTCAAGACTTTCTCTAGTCAAGAGAAAGCTGTGAGCCCACTCCATAGTCCTTGTGTTTTTTCCTGCTGCACTGGCCCAAGAGAACTCAGCATTTCCACATTCCATCTATCCTTCTCCCCAGATTTATTACTGTCAGGTGTGTGCACACATTCATGTGTATGAGTTGTTAAATCTACACCTACATTATAGAGGTATGTGTTTAGATGTGGCTTATGTTAGATGTTTCTATTAAAAGCTGTTATTAGATGATTCCTTATAAATTATACTTAACCATAGGCAAGGTACTATGCCAAATTTTGTGACATTTACAAAACTGAGTCATCTATTTTTTTTTGAGGTTTCTTAATTTCAATTTCCCCAGAAATATACTTTCCTTGTTACTAGCATTCATTTATAGAATCAATTTCCTGTCTATGATAGCACTGAGAATTGATTTTACTTAAATACAAGTGACATTAAGTGTTTTATAACTTTTTTTGCATAAACTTTGGTTTAGTTGCTAAACTCTATTTCTAGATTCTGAAATAAAAAGCTAAAATGGCATTTTATATTTACTTCAAGTGTAGCTACAAAGAGGCAGAAAAAAATACAGTATTATGTAGTTTCTTCCTTTCTTTTTTTTATTGTTGGTTGTTCAAAACATTACATAGTTATTGATATATCATATTTCACACTTTGATTCAAGTGGGTTATGAACTCCCATTTTTACCCCGTATACAGATTGCAGAATCACATCAGTTACACTTCCATTAATTTACATATTGCCATACTAGTGTTTGTTGTATTCTGCTGCCTTTCCTATCCTCTACTATCCCCCCTTCCCTCTCCTCCCCTCCCCTCCTCTCTCTCTACCCCCTCTACTGTAATTCATTTCTCCCCCTTGTATTATTTTTCCCTTTCCCCTCACTTCCTCTTGTATGTAATTTTGTATAACCCTGAGGGTCTCCTTCCATTTCCATGCAATTTCCCTTCTCTCTCCCTTTCCCTCTCACCTCTCATCCCTGTTTAATGTTAATCTTCTTCTCATGCTCTTCGTCCCTACTCTGTTCTTAGTTACTCTCCTTATATCAAAGAAGACATTTGGCATTTGTTTTTTAGGGATTGGCTGGCTTCACTTAGCATAATCTGCTCTAATGCCATCCATTTCCCTCCAAATTCTATGATTTTGCCATTTTTTAATGCAGAGTAATACTCCATTGTGTATAAATGCCACATTTTTTATCCATTCGTCTATTGAAGGGCATCTAGGTTGCTTCCACAGTCTTGCTATTGTGAATTGTGCTGCTATGAACATCGATGCAGCAGTGTCCCTGTAGCATGCTCTTTTTAGGTCTTTAGGGAATAGACGGACAAGGGGAATAGCTGGGTCAAATGGTAGTTCCATTCCCAGCTTTCCAAGAAATCTCCATACTGCTTTCCAAATTGGCTGCACCAATTTGCAGTCCCACCAACAATGAACAAGTGTACCCTTTTCTCCACATCCTCGCCAGCACTTGTTGTTGTTTGACTTCATAATGGCTGCCAATCTTACTGGAGAGAGATGGTATCTTAGGGTGGTTTTGATTTGTATTTCTCTGACTGCTAGAGATGGTGAGCATTTTTTCATGTACTTGTTGATTGATTGTATGTCCTCCTCTGAGAAGTGTCTGTTCAGGTCCTTGGCCCATTTGTTGATTGGGTTATTTGTTATCTTATTGTCTAATTTTTTGAGTTCTTTGTATACTCTGGATATTAGGGCTCTATCTGAAGTGTGAGGAGTAAAGATTTGTTCCCAGGATGTAGGCTCCCTATTTACTTCTCTTATTGTTTCTTTTGCTGAGAAAAAACTTTTTAGTTTGAGTAAGTCCCATTTGTTGAGTCTAGATATTAACTCTTGTGCTATGGGTGTCCTATAGAGGATCTTCCTTTCTTTGGAATGCCTAAGAAATAAGACATTTGATTCCAATGACAGTCTGTGGGAGTTGGTACTAGATAGAGCCACCCTTTGGCTAGAAATATACAGCATATGCAGATAATACAGATAAATGTTATCATGCAATTTCCTTCTCTTTATGGGTATTTTTACTTTAAAATAGAATGGGACAGGAAGAAGTAAGAAATTATGTGACAATCTGGATATCAATAAAGGCTATTACAGTTTTAAAAATTAAGTTAACACAGTGAAGTGGACTTTCATTTGATACAGTTCTGGGAATTTTAACCCATTCACAGGTTCATGAAAACTCCACCACTATTAGGATGCAGAAGAGTTCCATCTCTCCAGAAACCTTGCTGTTTCTTTGTAGTTGGACCCTTACCCAGCAATTAAACCTGGTGACTAGAGATCTATTTTGTCACTATAGTTTAACTTAAGACTGTCTTAAAAACATAATCATAAACATGCAGCCTTGGAAGACCTTTTTTTGCACTCTGCATGATGATGTTGAGATTGATTCAACTTTTGTTTGTATCAGTTGTTTCTTTCTGTTGCTTAGTGTAGTATTCCATAGCTCTCTATTTACTCCATGGATGCTCTTTGGATTGTTTTCCATTGCAGGGGGTCATTGTGAGTAGAACAGCTATGTCCAGGTTTTTGAGTGAATGCTATATTTTCATTTGTCTTGTATAACTTTCTAGGAGAGGGATTGCTGAATCATGACAAGTGAATGTTTAATTTTATAGGAAACCTGCAGGTCATTTTTTCAGTGTGGTTATAGCCATTTTACATTTCTCCAACAGTGCGTGAAAGTTTTTTCTCACCATCCAAACTTGGTATTTTTCATGCTTGTTTTAGCCATTCTAATATGATATCTCATTTTGTTCTTAACCTACATTTTCCCTAATGGTACTTGATATTTTTCATGTGCTTATTTGCCATTTGCATATCCCCTTTAGAGAATTTATTTGCTGATTTTTAAACTGGGTTGGTTGTTTTCTCACATCAGAATATTCAGAGTTTTAAACATTTTCTAGTTCTTTGAGACATGATTTGCAAATATTTTCTACTAAACTGAGGCTTGTCTTTTGATTCTCTTAATACTATATTATATAAGGCAAAAGTTTTTAACTTTGATAAAATTGTTTTCGGTTTTTTTATGATTATTTATACTTTAGTGTCCTAAGAACTCATTGTTTAAACTCAGATCATAAAGATATTCTTCTATTTTTAAGATAGTTTTAGTTTTTCATTTTGTTTTTAATCCATTATTTAGACTTAATTTTAAGACATAAGCTTACAGTCTACCTTCCTTTTACAAATGTTCAGTTATTTCAAGATCACTCATTGAAATGACTGTTCTTTCTCTATTGAATTACCTTTGAAATTTTATTAAAAAAATAAGGTGTTCATATTAGTGTGGCTCTCTTTCTAGACTGTTTTGTTCCATTGATCTAGGTATGTTTATTTGTCAATACTATACTGTCTTGATGACCATAACTTAATAGTGAATCTTGAAACTGAATAGTAAAACTGCTACAGTTTGTTCTTCTTTTTCAGAACTTTTAAAAAAAATTCTAATTCCTTTGCTTTACTATGTATTTTAGAACCAGCTTGTTTATATCTAAAAAATTTTATGAGGATTTGGCAGGATTTCTGTTAAGTGTTTAGATCAACATTGATATCTTTACTGTGAGTTTTCTAATCCATAAATATGGTGTACCTCTTTTTAGTTGTCTTTGATGTCTTTAATTCTTGTTTTCAGAATGCAGATCTTATATAGATTTTTGATGGAGTAAGAATCAAGGACTTCATTTTCATGCTATTATGAAGTTGTTCTCTGTTATTATGTAGACATACCTTTGGATTTTGCTCAAGAAAACAAGAGGACATCTTCTTTCTGTCCATTAGACCCCTTTCCTGATCCTTGATCTTGAGCTATAGCACTTCCCCTTGTACTCATATTTTAATTCTTCATTGCTTCTGGTTTCAGGCTATTTTGAAGAGTGGGATAACTGGAAAGAAAAAAAATGATTAACTCAGCTGCTCTAATTCAGTTACTCCAATTTGTTTTTCAATGCCACAAATCGTTGCTTCCTGTATTTGGTCTGGATTTTAATAGCTGCATTCTGTTGGAGCAACAGCATAGAGTTGCTTACCTTATCTTACCTGAAATTGGAACCAAAACTGATCTTTTTTGCATCACTTTAATTTTAAAAACATCTACAATCTTATTGGCTGTGAGCAGTCAGTCTGTCTATTCATCCAGGTGTGTAGCACCCTTCTCTTGTCTACTTCCTGTCAGGAAAATTACAATGCAACTTTTGCCCAGTTCTGATTACCCAGTTCTTATTTACAGTCTTATTAAAGCCTTTATAAGGAAAAAAAAATAACATTTTGGCCTTGAGTACTTGAGTAGTTGTAATTGAATATGTAATGTCGGAGTCATACTTTTGTGATAATTTCTCTTATGGAGGAGATGTAGTGGTATTATATTTGAACAACTAGGTTTGAGTTATTTAAGACTGATTCTTCTGGAGGCTGTGGCAGTCTTTAGAGAGAAGAGGAAAATTGACATTTAAACATTTTTTTAAATGTGTGTGAGAAATTTGTTATACAATTAAAGAATTTTGTATAACTTTTAAATATGTTTAAAGGAAGGTATTTTTGTTGGGTTGTGGGGAGTGAAGTACTGAGAATTGAACCTCTGAGCTACATCTACAGACCTTTTTTACATTTTCCTTACAGAAGGAAAATTGATAAGTTTGAGGATGGCCTTGAAACTGATTCTCTTGCTTTAGCCTCTCTAGTCCCTGAAGTTGCCACCTCCCCCTGCTAAAGGCAGATATTTTAAAGAAGTAGTAAATTGCCTAACTTAAATACATGTGTACATGCACATGTGTGTATATATGCATATGTGTGTATGTGTTATTCACTGCTTTAAAAAATGTTTCTTTTGTTTTTATTAATTAATTTATTTTTTGTACCGGAAATTGAATTCAGGGATGCTTAACCACTGAGCCACACCCTGAGTCCATTTTATTTTTTTCTTTCTTTCTTTCTTTCTTTCTTTCTTTCTTTCTTTCTTTCTTTCTTTCTTTCTTTCTTTTTTTTTTGAGACAGGGTTTCACTAAATTGCTCAGGGTCTCACTAATTTGCTGAGGCTGGCTTTGAACTTGCAATCCTCCTGCCTCAGATTTCTTAGCCAATGGGATTACAGGTGTGTGCCACCATGCCTGGCTAATTTATCTAGAAGTTCTGTAGTGAGAGCATTGAAAGCTTTTGTGTTGAAATTGGAACAAACATATTTTCTTTCTAATTCATTAGCCACTTTTGTGTTTCAGGTTTATTTTGGGTAGGCTAAGCAGATGCTAGTATAACCATGGATTTCTGGTTGACTATCCCATATTAATTGATCCTTTCAGTGTAAGTTTTAACTATGTTGTAGCCCAACATAAAATGTAGGAGAGTTACATAATTTCAGTTCCAATCTGAGAATATTTAGATACCTCTGTATTTGGTATTCCATGCTCTTATGTGGGGGAGAAGAAAGCAAAGAAAAGATTAATTTTGTGTTTGTGATAAAGATAGGAAGTGCTCTATATTCACTTTTTGGAAGGAAAGTATACCATAGCCACAAGATATATAACCAGAACTTCTTCAAAAGACTAGCTACTAATTTTTATTTTTTTTAGTTATACTTCACTTTGATGAAGGCTAGGAAGGAGGTACACAGTCGCAATGAAATGAAAGAACACAAATCTTGAATTCAGAAAAATGTGGTTTTGAGTCTAAGCTCCCTCACTAACATGATGGTTTCGTTGCTCAATAACTCTCTTCTGATTTCTAGGTATGGTTGATTTATTTAATTCAGGGGCTTTTTTGATTGACTTCAACTATAATGTTGGTAAAGGGTCCCAAAACTATGCTTGCCACATAGTTACATAATCATTAAAAAATAGTGCTTTCATTGTACACTAGTGAGAGTGAAAGATTGGTTTAATAGCTCAGTTTTATGAAAGATCACTTGCTAATGTTCAGCTGTGATGGGTAACAAGAAAAATGATTAGCTTAATTAATATGGTACAATGTTTTGGGCCAGAGGACCCAAGTTTGCTTTCCTGTTCTTAAAGCTGAGATAACAAGTAGTAATGGGTTTAGGGTAAATTTTTTTCAGAGCAGTATTTTTGCATCTGTGGTTTAGCAGGTTCTGTTTAAAATTTTACTTTAACTTCTCCTCTTTATGTGAATGCCATCTCAGAATGATACAAATGTTTTAGGACCCATCATGAGTGTCATTAGAGACTCATAGTGTATTTATTTGGATATTCTAGTGTCTAGGGTAAGCATGTGAAGGTATTGGATTGATAAGAGAAGTGAAAGAAGCTGGGCATGGTGGCACACCTGTAAGACTGAAGCAGGAAAATCACAAGTTCAAAGCCAGCCTCAGCAACTTGTATCCTGACTCAAAAATAAAAAAAAAATAAAAAGGGCTTGAAATGTGGCTGAGTGAAAATATGCTTCTGGGTTCAATCACTAGTAATCCCTACTCCAGAAAAAGAATAAATAGTAATAAGCTATGTGGTGATTACAAGCATTTCTCAGTGTTCAAAATTATTTGGCATCCGTAGCAGTATGGATGCAAAAAAGAGAAACCACACAGTAGGCTAAATAGAAAGTTTATATAAGAATTATTAACTATGGGGGAGGGGAAAGGGGGTATGGAAGGACAGCAGAATAAAATAGACATTATTATTGCTATGGGTATATACGTGACTACATGACCAATGTAATTCTGCAACCTGTACACTCGGGATAAAATTTCTCATTTTTCTATCTGATTCAAATGTATGATATGTCAAGATCATTGTACTGTTATGTGTAACTAATTAAAACAAAAAAATAATTTAAAAAAATATGCCACAAAGAATTATTAACTATGATAAAAGAGTATAATACATAAGGAGGCATTATATGGCTCTTGGTAACTGGGCCTGAGGCCAAGTTGCCAAGAAGGATAAACTTGCAAGGGGTTCAGACTTTGTTGGGAAGGGATATTGGCCAATTTGTATGCAATTGCATACACAATGTATATTGTGTGCAAATACTAATATGTAACAAAAATTCCACCATTGTGTACAACTATAATGCACCAATAAAAAAAAAAAAAAAGTAGAGAAAAAAAAAAAAAGATACTGTGGTACCAGCCCTCTGGGAACTTGCTTGTATAGCCAGTGTGGAAGTTGTTCTGGAGTTGTTGGGCAAATAGGCCACCCTCCAGAATGCAGGTAGGGAGCAGGCAATCAGTAACCAGTAGCATGGATATGTGTTGGAACTATTAGCACCAGAAGTGGGCAGAAATCCTTTCCGTTGCTGGATGGTGGGGATAGGGCCTTATGGGTGGCAGATACCAGAGAAGGAGGGGGTAGAAGGAAACACTCACTGCTCTGTACAGCCTTCTTGAGCCAAGGCAGCTGTGTGCAGGTTTTAAAGGGCCCTAACAAGGGAGTCCAAATTCCTTAGGCAGAAGGCCTTCAGAGCATTCTATCGGTGTGAGGGCTCTTGTATCTGTGTCAAGGGTAAGGCAGAAAGGCTATTTCCAGGTAGAGGCTGGAAGATCATAGAGGGACTGCCTTCTGTGTACACTGCTAGGGCAGGCTCTGCTGGATTCTTTACACCTACATCTCTACTCCTGACCCCTACCTCAGGCCAGGTTGGAAATTCCAGAATGTCCCTTCCTCTATAGTTCTTTCTAGTTCCCTCTGTAGCGAAAGCTTAACATCATTCCTCCTTTGAAGGAGCAATGTTTAAAGGAAATTAGTTGTTTCATCACATAGTATATACATTGAAGGATCTATTTGGAGCTGAGAGGTAGTGAATTAATAATACACATAGCATCTTCCTTTTTGAAAAGAAAATAGTTATGCCAGTATATTGAATCTAGAAACTGTACAAAATGTGAACTTGATTCTCATTTTGCATTGCATGCACCTCTGTCTTCTGAAAGAGTGATTCATAAAACTTAAGGGAATTTAAATGATGCTGATGATACACAAAGGCTTGCTAAACTTTGATTATAATATCCCTTAAATATGCTAGAAGCACTTTGGGTTTGCAGCAGCTGGTTCCAAGTTATTGATGGTTGTCTTGGTGACAGATGGTGTTTGGGGTTGTGACTTAGAGGAGACTCTGCAAGCTTACCTCTCTAATTTACCACCCCCTCTCTCACCTTGCATGGCATATTTGAGCCAGCAGGGAAGCCCAACCTTGTCTACTATGGTATTGCCTGCCCATCAGGGAACTTTCAATTACACTGACATTTTACCCATGACTGATGACCTCAGCAAGTTTCCTGGAATGCTTCATTTTCTTCTAGCTGTATAAATAGCACTGACTTAGAAGTTTTAGGCAGTACTAGACAGTTTTATTTGCCAAACCCTTTTCTGCAGTTTTGGGGCTTGCAACTCTATCTCCATTTGTAAAATTTTGTAATATATTGGTTGCCTTGAAAGGTTTTTAAAATAAAGTATTATTAATACAAATTTATTATAATTAATCATAAATAGTACATATACTGTGGAAAGCTATTAAGAAGATATTATCTAGATAAAAGTAACATTTTTCTATCCAGAGATTATTTCTACTTGCATCTCAATCTGTAGAATTCTAGACTGATTTATTTCTGTGTAATTTGTGTTTTTTAAAATGAATTATTGCTGGGTGCCTGTAATCCTAGCTCCTGGGAAGGCCAGGCAGAAGGATTGCAAGTTAGAGGCCAGCTTCAATAATTAGCAACTTAGACCCAACTTAGACCCTGTCTTAAAATAAAAACAGAGAGGGATGTTCCTCAGTGGTTAAGCACCCAAGGATCAATCCTCTGTGCTAAAAAAAAAAAAAAAAATGCTCTTCACTTTTCTATGTCAACTTATTTTCATTTTATGTAAGTCCATGCTTACATACTAAGTTCATTCACACGTTGAATTAATTGATCCCAAAATCCCAACATGAGGTACTTCATCCTCATTAGGATCTAATTGGGAATATTTCTTTTCATCTGGTCATGTCCTACAAACTCCAAGTAATCTCCATCATGACTTTTTTTTTAAAAAAAAATTAATTTTAAACTTCTTTTACAAATCACAACTGATGAACAACAAAGCCTGGACCTGCGAAATCCACGATCCTGCGCCGGTCTAGTTCTGCTTTGTGAAATAGCTGCTCCCAGGAATGGGGGTGCATGGTATCTGTGAAGGCCAAAGCCTGGCTGGAGGAGGGACTCACTCTGGGCCCAAGGGACTCAGCCCGAGCAGCCTCTGTTGCTGCAATGTGTGTACTCAGTGATGATGCAGTTCACCTCCATTTGTGTCCCCAGTCTGAAAATACTGCATGTAGCATATGTTCTCATAACCCCACTTTTCCCTTTTATGATCAGGCTTTTTTCTGCTTAGCTTTCTTTAATATTCATAGAGTTCTTTTCTTGTGGCTTTCAGTTTATAAAAAGATACAATGGGTTTTCTGGTGGTGGATCCTGAAGATGGGCCATGGATATTTCACTTTCCTCTTTGCCTAGTGAAGTTCTATTTTAGTTTTTCTCCTCTTTTGACCTAATTCCTGCAGTGTTGGCTCCGTCAACTCCCAGCCATCTAGGGGAGCTTTCTGGCCTCTCTTGATGTTAGGCATTTTCTTCCCACAAGATAATTGGCAAAGATCCAAGGATCCGCTTCCCAAGAGTGTAAAAGGAAGATCCCTGGTCTCTGAGGTTACAGGCTTGGATTCTTGTCCAGCCCTTCCAATTATTCTGTGACTTTTGAGAAGCCATTTCCTTCTTTCGTTCTTAGTCTCATAGGAGACTAAGTCTTGGACTGCTGCTTCTCTGTCGATGGCTTCTGCTTCTGTTGATGAATTCCAGCTCTGACTCTTTGAATAGACCAGATCAATTAATTCTCCTACAAAATTTTGGACCTTCTGGATTTTTCCATTTGCTTCCTTGTGATGATGATAGCATGTTGTTAAATCCTTGAGTTCAGAAAAGATGGATAAACAAGATGTAATTTAAATAGGGCTTGACTGGAACATGTAGATGGTGTTATCCATGTCACAGTATGACCCATTAGGAGGCACAGTGTCCAGAAGGGCCACCATCATGTGGCATACTCACAAGAGCAATCAGTGCTTCTTTCCAAGTCATCCAAACTTGCATTTATTGTATTTTACATCACTACATATTAAAAATGTGATATTTTTCAGCCTGACAAAAAGCTTACACATTTTCTATAAAAGCTGGTTTTACAAGTAACTTTGAAATAACTGAATTTTAAAGGAAAATCTACAATTTAAAGTTGTCCTTTCACTCTTTGCTTTTCTTTGTTTTCTCTAATTCTAGATATGTTATTTTTAACTTATTAATATGGGTTCTTTGATCTCAAGAAAATAGTAAAATACTTTAGATACTGAAGTTGTATGTTCTCTGTGTGGTTTTTTTGAATTTTTTTTTTTATTTTTTTTTTTTGAAAGGACATTTAAAGCCTGTATGAGGCTGAGATGAAGGTATTGCTTACAATTCTGGAGATAATTTATTTAATTAGGTAGGGTTGGCCATTGGTCAGTTTAGCTACTCCAGGGGTAAAAAGCGATTGGAAGATATTTACAATCAGTTTAATGAAATATAATGAACAAATGGAAATGGATAGTAATGCTATGAAAAATTTTAAATGACATTTAATTGATTTTAATTTAAACTTTAGGGAGACTGAGTATTTTTATCAAAGATTAAAAATTATTTTGCCATGTAAGATATCTCTGCTTATACAAATTTTCTTCTGTTGAATTTTGTTCAGTTTAACCTTTTGAGTGCTTCAAAATACTATGTTTGTTTGTTTTTTAAATATAATTTTAAAGCCCTCCCCTTTTAGAATGTTATTATAAAGGAGTAACTTTAAAAGAGACTTTTAGGGTAGTTTCCTTTTCAAAATAAACATATTTGATTACTTGATATGTGGAACTAACTTTCCCTAGAGACAAGATGAGAAGAGCTCTAGGAGGAAGTGGGCTTACTGAAGACTGGTAACTGTGATAAGTGTTTCTCACAATTCGCTTTTGTTTTCATTGGCTCCTGCTGTTGGCAATGATTTAAAGGGTTTTAAAATTCATATTCTTTTCTTAACAATACTAAATCTTGAACACTGTGTTTGTTGGGCGGGGAAAGGATTTGTGAGCTTAACAATGTCTTTTCTCTTAGGTATAAAGGGTGTTGATTCAGTAGGGAAACACCAGGGCATCATAGGGGTCCAGTGAGGGAAGAACTGGAGGAATTGAACAGACCCCAGTTTACGCCTCCTTCCTCTCCTCTTTATGCATAGCTCAGGAGCATGCACCTGACTGAACAGTGGAATGTGTCAAATGGTGTGAAGTTTCCTGGTCATCGCTGTGCCTAGAAAAGGTTCACTGAAATGTCAGAATTTTAAATAGAGGATTAAACAGTAATTCTTCAGGGGCGCTGTCCACATTTTCTCTCACCTGATTTTATTTTCTTCTTCCCTAGCCTCATACCATCCCACAGTCCCATGCTATTGCAATAATATGAAATGAACTTTTACTTATGTTTCTGAACTTCAGGACCTTTTATAGGTTTAAGAAAACTCTCTAAGACATTGTTTTTACACTTCATACAGAGCTTTTAGAGGTAGATTTTTTTTCCTTATATCTATGGAGTGATTTATGGTACACATAATTTAATAATAATGTAATTATTAATAATAATAATGTAAGAATAGGTATTACTGTAACCAGCGTACAGAAGAAAAGGCCATGCTCACCTTCTAGGCCTTCAGTTTTGGAATTTTGAATTTTCCTTTCAAAGGGATTGCTACATTAAAAGCCAGATGATTCTTTTGCTTGATAAAGAAAGCTCTGCTGTGACTTCATTTAAATTCATCTGCCTTTTCTAAGTGTGTATGGCCTTGTGCTTATAAACAGAAAACCATGATTGGTGGGAGTGAATCCCCATCAGGATTAAATAATTTATGTAAAAGCAGTTTTAACTACCAGGCAAAACTTCATAGTCTAGATTTTAGAACACCGTCATCCCTGCCATCCTTCATCGGTCATTGAAATTTACTTTTCTTAAAAAAAATAAAATGTATTTCATTCCTTATCCCATGATAGACTTGTTAATATTTGAAAGGAATTTCACAGAGAACTTAACATGGAAATTATAACAAAAGTCTCTCAAAATAGAACATGATTTCAGATCACTAGCAATTTTAAACATTTAGCTTTTTGAAGATGGCAATATAATAGATGAATTATTGTAAAACAATATCATAAAAGTCTCGCTTCTTACAAAATAAAATGTAGGTCAAGGTAACATTTGAAGTTTTATTAAACTAAAATCACCAGATTTGTAAAAGGTTCAGGGTTTTTTTGTAATTTTTTTTTTAGTTGTAAATGGACACAATACCTTTATGTATTTACAAGTGGTGCTGAGGGTTAAACTTGGTACCTCTAATGCCATAGGCAAGCTCTCTACCACTGAGCCCCAACCCCAGCCCAAAAGTTCAGTTTTGATAATACTGGAAATATAGGTGGTATTCAGTTCTTAAAAAAAAAAAAAAAATTCTTAAGGCAGGTGTGGTGTTACACACCTGTAATCCCAGCAGCTTTGGAGGCTGAGGCAGGAGGATCACAAGTTCAAATCCAGCCTCTCAACTTAGGCCCTAAGCAATTTAGCAAGACCCCCTCTCAAAAAGTGAAAATAAAACAAGGGCTGGGGATGTGGCTCTATGCCCCTGGGTTCAATCTCTGGTGCCAATTAAATAAATAAATAATTTCTTAAAAGTCTGAAAACTTTCCTTTAAAATGGTTTATAAACCACTACTATGTAGTAGAGTTTTGTTCCAGCTAAAAAAGAGTTCCATTTATTTGTACAATTTAAACAATCTAAAAATCACCCCAGTAGGAGCAGATTGGATATCTCAAAGATCTGAATCATATTTTGGTGGGGGTCTGGTCCATAGAATAAATTTAAGAGTTTCTGTCTCTTGGTAGGATTCTAGGAATTGATTACCTCAAGATAGCTTTTGAAAGTAGAAAGCAGGATACGGTTTTTTCTTTTTTCTCCAGTTGGGTAGTAATCTCTGGAAGTAGAATGGAATTTGGGGGTAGGAATGTTGATGAGAGGGAACTGTGGGGTGTGTATTCCAATGGAATGTTCATTCCAAGGAGAGATTCCAGGATGTAGTGGGCCAGAGAAGGGGAATTAATCCTGGGTGGAGCAGAGTGGGTCACTTAATCTTCTCAAATATTTATTTTAAGTCAGGCCTGTTGGAGGACCAGTGTCTGTAGGGGGAGAACCCGTGCTCAGGGTGTTCTCTAAATGCAAAGAGTAAGTAAAATTGATGTTATAAATATTTAACGCTAGAAATTTTATTGAACGAACAAACCTTTAGGTGACTTGAAAAGGGAAAATCATTTTTCTTTCCCTCATGACTTCAAATGCTTCAGGCGCTTTTTATAAGTAATCTCAAAAATTCTAGGTGATTGGTACTGCTCAATTTGAAAGTTGAGAAATTGAGGCTTGGAAATTAAGTAGTTTGTTCAAGGTAACATTGTACTGGAGTCTTTTCAACTTTGATGGTTTCTTAGTCATGACCCTATTATGAAAAGCTAGTGATTTCTAATTATGTAGTAGCCAAAGCCCCAACGTGGTTCCTTTGGGAGCCAGTGGGGATTGGTTCTGGTAGCACATCTATCTACTCCTTATTTACAGCAGCATTTGTTGTGTGTTCATCAAGAGGCTGTGAATTATTGAATCCCAGAGGTCTAACTGCAGAGCCCAACATAGTGAAGGAGCCCAGGAAATTTTACCCCTAAATATGGGTACCATGATATGCTCACTATTCTGAATTAAAAGCCCTTGAAAGATGGTGGAGGAGGATTGACTCTGTTGTATTCTTATCTGCATTGAAACCAGACCTGCTTAAGAGAACAGAACTGCCTTCCATCCCCTCCCTGGAATCTCACTATCTCCAGAGAAGACTGAAGAATGCAACCACACCTGAATGGACTTTCCTTACCAGATAAAGTCTGTTCCTTGGGTTCATTCAAATTGCAAAGAAAATCTTTTTACTTTGGAGTTGAACTAATTTGTTGGGCCTTTTGTATAAGCCATATTCTAGGCTTCAAAATTACATAATAAAAAAATATTTGCTACAAAATAAGGAGGATGGGAACATAGCTTAGTGGTAGAGAGGTTAGCATGCTTGAATCCCCGAGTTTGACCCCACCACACCATACACATGTGGGAAAATAAAGTAACTGAGTACTTATGTTTTGATATCATTAAGTGTGAATCATCCATTTTTAGTTTCAGAAAATGAGAGAGAAAGTTAGCTGTTTTAAACAAAATAATGTAAGGGATTTGATGCTTATAAAGAGATTGGTAGTTGGAGGCAACAGGACCTTCAGGACTATGATGCCATTTTTTGTCTGGCCAATTGGAGACCTGCTGCCTCTGCTACCATGAGTAAGGTAGAGAAATCACACGTAGAACATAGCTGTGATCCAGGAATCACAAATGGTGTCTTGGAAGCCACTCTATGCATGTTGGTTGCATCTTGGTACCCCTCCCCTCCAAAAAAAATGTATCCCATGCTTTGCTTGTTTATAACCTTGAGATTAGTGTCTATACAATGGAGTGCTGCTGCAGCAAAGGCCCTGGGGAGTGTATTTCTTCCTTTCTGATCTTGTGCCTGCATATCTCATTAACAGACCCCCCCCCCCAGATACCAGGCAGCTTGGGAAGATGAGTGTTTAGGGTTTTGGCCTCTGCCATTTAGGAAGGCACACAGGAAGGAAACTGGTATGGAGGTTAAACATACCACTTAAAAAAAAAAAAAATCAGAGCAATGAGGCAAGACCTTGCTTTGTTTCCATGGTTACATTTCCTACATTTCCTGACCTACCTCACCCCAGCCCTCATTAAATGTCACCCTTGGTCTTGTCCTGTCATGGGGAAGATTTTCAACTTTTGATTTTCAGTGATCTAAGTATGTTAGATATGTGACGAGTTGTTTTTTTTTTTCCTTTTCATTCACGTTATTACTTTCTCATACTGGGTTTAAATTATTAAACTAAATAATTTATTAAATGACTAATTAGAATATATGGAGTTAAGTTTTGTATGTGTGTGCTGGAGGAGTTGGCTATTACAGCAAGTAGAGCAAAGTATACCACAGATAATGCCAGGGGAAAAAAAGCAGATATGTAACTCTAGGAGAGTGTTCTGAGTGCATTGTATTTCTGGGAGAATATCTGGTGGAATACTTTAACAATAGACTGCACAGAATGAAGTCTGTGTGTAGAATACAGAGTCATGTGTATGTATTTACGTAATTTATCTGAATGGAAAAAAATTTAGATGTCCTTTGGCTGGAGATTTCTGATAGGTGTTATCCTTTGAGGAGCACATTACAATCTGATAATTCAAGGTATGCAGAAGTGTGCAAAAGGAAGGAAGTTATTTCTAAGTCAGGGTTGTATCCTTTGGCACTGTTTTTAGGTCAAGTGACTAAAACTATCAAAGGTTTAATTGGCTCATGTGGAGGTAGCCCTCCAAGGCATTTTCCCTTTGTGATTGATGATGTCTTGTATAAACCAAGTTTTATTATTGGAGTTCCTTGTGTAGTCTTTCCATTTTTTTTTTCTTCCTTGTTACAAACTTTTTATATGTTGGGCACATATCAGATACCAGTGCATAACTTAAGGGAAACAATTGAACAAGGCTTTTTGTTCCTGTTTAATTACAAAGAGTAATTGTATTTCAATTATTTTCTTCATTTATATTTTTATCTCCTTCATCTGTTTCCTTTCAGTGCATCTGAATGTAGGAAGGAAAAAAATGGTGAGCTGAGAAAACGGCTGGCTGTTTTGGAAGCATTCACAGATATGTAATCAGAGCAATATGTGTAAAACTTCTGTCAGTTTAAGGGCAGAAAAATAAGTAGTAGCCTTAATTGAGAATTACCCAGTTGCACCTAATTATTATTTTTGAAGAGTGTCTTACAGAAGGGGTAATTGTAGGAAGGATATCTGCAATTACAATGTAGGTTTTGATTTGAGAAATGTTTGCTGATTGTAGGTTTTCAGATAGTTAAGTAATAATTAAGTCTTATATTCTCACCTATTTGAAAATCTGAATAGAAATAATACAAATGCTAAAACTATGGACTTTCAAAAACCATTAGTTTAGCTAACCCTCTGAACCCTCTGAACCCTCTGACAGATACTTCTGCTGTCTCGTGTGATTGCATTTCCTTTGGAAGATACTCATCTCCTTAGCACAGAGTAAATACTGGCTTCCTCCATGTTCCATCTTTGCTTTATAGCCCATCATTGTTTTAAGACAGGCTAGACCCAACCCAAAATTCTGACTAGATTAATTAATTAATTAATGATTTCTGAGCAAACACCCTCGGCCACACTCCTATGTAGCAATTACTAACCTGATCATCTTTTCCCACTGTTTTCTTGGCCCTCTATAATATTCTATCCTCAGGATCTTTGTTAACATGGGATATAGGACTAAACTAATGCCCTATCCTAATGTGCATGTGCTCATTTTAAATTTCTAAACTCTTAAACTCCCCTAAATCATCTCTTTTGCTACTAACTAGAATTGTCATACCTGTGAAACAATAAACTCAGTAAGTTTAATAGCTTTAAAAGTTCTTATTTTCCTACCTTTTCTGCTAAATTTTTCCTGTTCCCCTGTGTATCTCTTGAACATTTAAACAAATTGTTGTCTGTCTTTTTATGCATATTTTCTCTCTGTTCTGATTAAATACCAGCATCAGTCATTTTACTATCTAGCTCAATTTCAGGCTTTTCTTTCCCCCTAAGCAAAATTTTGCCCAACATGTCACCAACTGTAACACTGAGTCAGCCTAAATTATAATATGTCCTATTTCTGTTTTCCTGCTGATTGGGGTTATTGGAGGAAGAAAGTGGATCTGGACAACGTAGAGGCAGACCTGCATCTACCTCATGTAATATTTGCACAACTTCCATGAAAGGAGTCTTTTTGTTTTTTTTAATCACCACTATCTAGATTAAACAAAAACAAAAACAAAAAAACAAGTTGTAGCACCAGGATAGAACACTTACCAGCATGTGCAAGGTCTTGGGCTTGGTTCCTAGCATACTTCTACCCCATCAAATAAAAAATGTACAAAGTAGGTTTTGAAACTGTTTCCTGATGCATAGTATACAATGGATGTAACAGTTCCAAATGTCACATCTGCACATCAAAGTCTTTACTCCCCTGATTATCAAGCAGGAGTTCTTGGCTTACTATGGGCCAGTTTTAATCTAGTCCCCAAAGTAATTGCGATAAACGGCCACATTAATGCCAAACTCTAGTTGATTTTGGATTGTGTTGCTGCCAATCATGGTAGTAAGATCATAAGGTCTTGCTAGTGGGTTTAGGCCTATCAGAACTTGCTTATATGCATAGCTTCTTGGAATCAATCACCAGGTCTGCCAGCCTATGCAAGAAGTATGAAATCGATGCTATGGAAGCAATTTTTGTGCAATAAAAAAAACCTGCCTCATATTTTCAAATTCTAGTAGTTTATTTCAGGCTTGGTTATAGAAATTTAGAAAACCAAGTCAGAAGACAGTATGAAATCAATAATGGAATAATTTTGCAATATTCAGAAGCCTCATGGAAATAGAAGAGAGATTGTTATAATAATTCCAAGCTGGGGTTTTAGTAGCCAGATAAGCTGCATATGGAGGATACTCAGTGCTACCATTTGAAGGTTTAGGCCATGTATTGAAGATTTGGTCTCCTGTGATGCTACTGGGAGGTGGTAGGACCTTTAGGACATGGGGTCTAGTGGAGGTCCTTAGGTCATTGGGGGCATACCCTTGAAGGGGATATTGGGACCACAGACCTTTTCCATTGCTCTCTCTCTTTCTCTACTTCCTGATTACCACAAGTTGAACAGGCCTCCACCACAGGCTCCCACCATGATTTACTCTGTCCCTGTAGGCCCCAAACAACTGAAAGCATAGCCAGAATAAACCTCTCCTACCCCATAAGCTGATTTTCTCAGAATTTTGTCACACTGACAGGAAA